CACCCCGCCCTGCAGCACACCAAACATCACTTGGCTGTACCTTGGCTCTCTGTCCTTGTTCTAATCTTGCTGCTGTGGATGCATCCAAGAGAAGCTGGGAGCTGGAACAGAGCAGACGCAAGTATTGCTCGGTTTCTGGGAGGAGAGCCGAGGACACCACGTGGGTTTCTGACTCAGGTGGAGGGGTAGATGGTGCCATTCTCTGAGAAGCAGGAAAAACCTGGAGTCTTTCTCCCAGAGCTGGGAGCCCTTTGGAGCCTATGTCTAATCCACAACCTATCTTTTTCAGCTTCGAAATGGAGCCCCCTTCACCAGACTCCCGAGTGACAAGCTGAAGGCAGTCATCCCTCCTTTCTTACCCCCTTCCAGCTTTGAGCTGTGGAGCTCAGACAGGTCCCGGACATGTCACAATGGGAAGGCAGACCCCACGAAGACTGTGCTGCCCCAGAGAGCCAGCAGGGGCCATCCCGTGGGCAGTGGGAGCACAGATACTGTAAGTCGCCCAGCTGACATGCTTTGATGCGTCACTCACTGCTCACTGAAATCATAATGTGTTTCAGGCAGAAGGGCCTTCAGACCCGCTAATCCAGAGGAGTTAAAGCTTTTTGTTTTCTTTTAAACGAGTGATGATATCTTTTGTCTAATGAAATCCTACAAAGGAACTTAATATATAAACAGATTACAGTGTCAGAGGGAAGGGAATGAAAATGGGAGCCCCCCTTCTCTATCCCCTCTCTGGAGCCCTGGTGCTCCAAAGAACACAGTTCGAGGACCTGCTCTAATCTAACCTTCCCTTTAGTAGGTGAGGACACTGGGGCCCCGAGAGGGGAAGTAGTTTGATGAAGATCACCAGATGGGGTGGGCCTGGGACCAAAAATCAGATTCTTGGCTTTTAATCAAGTTCCACACTACATATTACCCAGGTCCATGACCAAGAACACACACTAGGAGGCAACTGTGTACGTTACTGGTGTTTTCTTGCACCTGGAAGGAGCGTGACTTTTACCCTCTGGACCACGGTGGTTTGTGTCTTCATGGCCCTTGATATCCCTCTCGAGATGGGAAGTTATCACCTTATGTAGGGACTGTCTACATTGTGGATATAGTAAATGGACAAACCAAAGACGAGGATTTCGGACCTGACCTGCCGCTGTATGCCGAGTGATTGCAGAAGCTCAGGGCCTCCATCTCTGCTGTAAAATGGGGCTGACTCTCACACTTGCTGCCTCCCTGGCTGTTGTAATGGCAAATCTCTACAAGCTGACCAAGAGCATGGTCTCTGGAGATGCTCAGGGCAGTCAGGGCAGGTTTGCATTTGGTCCACAGTGTGGGAGGAGTCGAGTGATCCTAAAAGCAGGGTGACCCGTGGGAACTAATGTCACAGGGCCCAGCCTGAGCTAATGGTCGGGTTGCCAGTAGCTGGAAGTGGACTCCCATCCCTCAGGAGACTCCTAGCAGGCTGAGCACTCGTGGGCAAGGACATGCCAGGCCGATGCAGACACTGGCTGCAATGGGCTGGCCGAACGTCAAGTTCTCCCTGCTGTGATTCTGTGTGTCCAGAGAAAGGAACCAAAAACCCTAACCGAGACATCCACTGTACTCTTTTACAGACTCCCGTCAGGCCAGTTAAATTTCCATCTCTCTCCAGAAGTCCAGCCTCTCCTGCCAGTTCTGGGAACTTCAACCACTCACCTCATTCCTCAGGCGGCTCCAGTGGGGTAGGGGGCATGAGCAGGCACGGTGGAGAGCTGCATAACCGCTCAGGTGTGTACCTGGGCAGGGCCACTGGTGAGGGGTGGGTGAGAATATCCCTGGGGGCTGAGGGCATGAACAACTACCTCTTCTGTCTGCTCTGCAGACAATCCCTGAAAAAAACCTCATGTACTATATCTTCTCGATGTGGCCACAGGATTTTTCAGTGAATTCACAATTCAAGGTTTCTTTTACACACTTGTTGAAGGGTGGCAAAGGGAGTGGAAACTGAGAAAGTCTATGATGCTTTATTTTGTTGGAAAATTTTATAAGAAATTGGAAGCAATGCATGGCGTTTTCATGGTGTTTAAAACCCTTTAAGGTTAAAACTTCGAGAGCTTCTCATCCTTCCTTTTTGTTGAACAGATGAGGAAAATGAAGCTCAGAGTGGGCAAGAGATTTGCCCCGGGATGTACAGCAACTTGGTGGTAATTAGGGCTCAAGCTGGAGTGCTCCACGGTTATTTTGAGTTTACAGCATAGTTTCTTGTCCTCCATGAGCGCATTCAGGATTAACCAAAGTCACCTTTGCAGGAAGGGCACCCCTGCTTTATGGTACTATATAAGGAATGCATGCTTCTTGTGGAAAAGCTTTAAGACCAGATAAACCATAATAATAATAATAATAATAATGATGATGATGATGATGATGGTATAATCTCCTTTACTAGAGATCATTAACATTTTGGTGTCTATCTTTGTAAAGTACTTTTATGCATACTATATTTACGGAAGTGGAATAATAATTTATTGAGCACTTCGTACATGCCGAGCATAGTACCAAGCCCTTTAAATGGATGATTATCTTCTTCAGTCTCCCAATAACCTGCAAGGCCATCATCTCCATTTTACAGATGAGGGAAATGGGGTTCAGGAAAGTTAAATAACTTGGCCAAGGTCACACAGCTGTGAAGTAGCTGAGCCAGGACCTGAACCCAGGCAGGCTGACTTCAGAGTACGGACCGCTCTGCAACCTTTTTCTTCTTTGCACCCATCACCATGTCGTGACACCTTTTCGCATCCATACACCTATATCTATAGCATCTTTTAAATAGCCATAGATCACCAGACTAAGTAACGCCTTCACACCTCTATATTTGCATACTCTGTCAGTGATTTGCTTGACGAAAGTTCCCCTCAAATCAGAGTGGTGGGATCAATGGGTTTGCCTATTTTCGAGGCTTTTGATAATGTTTTGCCTTCCAGAACGACACTGTTTATACATGTAAAATACTTAACAGCAGTGCCTGGCACCTGGTAAATGCTCTGTGTTAGTTATCGGTGTTCTCCCTCTAGCACACTCCCTGGCTCTGGGTATTATCACATTCCTTTTTTCTTTTATAATAATTCACGGTTGCTCGTAGATTTCGGGAAACTGGGCGAGGGAATACTGGCAGTCAGGATTCACTCAGGGAAGCTGACATCACTTGAGTATTATAGAATGCGGAAGTTACCGACACAACTGCAGGAGGAACTTTGCGTGTGAAGCTCCAAAAAGGGGGAGTAGGAGGGTGAGGGAGGAGCCCTGGTGTGGCTGGGTGGCTGGAAGGCACTGTGTGGGGGGCAGAAGTGGGAATCCAGGGCAGAGCAGGCATCTGTGTCTGCTGGAGGCTGGCCAGGCTGGCTGTGGTGCCAGGGGATGGGGAGGGAGCAAGGACAAGCTGATCTTGCTGGCACCGTATCGTTCACCACCTCTTACCATGACACTTTCATCACATGATGGCCACTGCATCATGGCTGCCTTCTGGTTCTCATGCAGAGTCCTCTTGTGGTCAGCCCTGACCCAGAGCCACATGGGGAGAGGGTCTAGGAAGTACGGTTCTGGTTCAGCCACGTCAGCACAGGAAGTCAGCAGTACTCTGGACCCGTGGCAGTCATTCCTATTCCTGTTTCCTCAGGTGGCAGCATAGACAGTGTCCTATCTCAGATTGCTGCCCAGAGGAAAAAAGCAGCCGGACTATCTGAGCCGAAGCCCAGCCATCGATCCAGTCCTGTTGGGCCAGTGCCTGCTTCCAGCCCCATCGAGCTCCCTGTCTCCCCTACAGGTGGTGGCGGTCCCAGTGGCAAGGTGCTTGTTCTCTTTCTGTCTCCTCTTACACTCATAGATTCTGTCCTAACATGGCCCGCATGCTGGGGAATATGGGCAGTGCTGCAATTACAGGACAGGGCAAAAGACAGGCCCCTTCCAGCAGTCACTCCTGGACTTCCTGAAAGGGCTGGGTCATGAGAGCAGTCACTGAGATCATACCCTGTGCCCTCGGTCCCCAGCGCACATGTTCACTTCCCGCCTGATCTGCCGGGCACTAGCAGGTGCCTCATCCAGTCTCGTGTTGCACACATTTGTTCATTGATTAGAGCAAACGAGTTCACAGTATGGGTTCAGGACCAGAGTGCTGGGGTTCAAATACGAGCCCCAAATCTTTAGCATTTAGAATGGAACGTGGCCCCTGGTAAGCCTGTGTGTCAGCCGTAAGTGTTGACATTACTAGCACTACTTTATTCATGCATTGTACCCATCTTTGGAATGTCTGCTCTGTGCCTAGTGCTGCTAGCAGTGAGGATCCAGCAGTGAACTGGAAGTTTGGTAACTGCTCTCAGGGTGTCACTGGATAGAGGCAGTCTCACCTTAGTGTGGTAGGGGCTGTTGTGGAGAAGGGAAGATGCCCTACCAGGCTTGAGGGTGTCAGTGACATCTAAATTGGGACCTAAAGAATGAACAGGCAGATAGAATGGGCAGGGGTGGGGCAGGGTGAGAGACTGTTGCAGGGTGAGGGGATAGCGTGTGCAGCACTCCAGAGGCCAGAGTGCGGTAGAGGGGAGGAGCTGAAGGAAGGTTGGTGGGCAGGAGAGGGCCAGAGCCTCACCTCCCCGCTCTGGCACCATTACCTCCATTAATGCAGCCCTGGAGCTAGCCCCACATTGTTAGCAGCTATGGAGTTTGCAATGGATTAGAAACCCTAAATGCCTCTCTGGAATGAGAAACCTTTTAGTATCTTCACAATGCCCCCTCTACCTGGATTGATTAATGGAGAAGCCCCTAGAGTGTGGGTGTGAACCAGCTCCTTCCCCCGGTAGCCCTCCAAGGGCCTTCTCCCAGTGGTGCAGTGAAGCCCATTTCCACCTCTGAGTGGACCCCAAATCCAGGCACAGCCCCACTCTTCATCTATATTCTAGATCTTAAGCTTTCTCCCTGAGGACAGTTAGATCACCTGAGAGCCTCACCCCTGGACCGTTGCCCAGAAGTGCCTCCAGAGATTGATGTTTTAATGGATGAATAAGAAATAATCTTTATTTTATGTCCAACCAGAAGAGCTGGTCACACAACTCTTTGTGTTATTCAAAATCCCTTTTGCAATTGGACCTACAATACCGCTCCAGGAAAAAGTTTTTCTCTCCTTATACATTAGCATATTTTCCATTATATTGAAAATTACTTGTGTAATAGAATCTATGTAATTAAATTCCTTTTAGAATTTGGCTCTAGAAAAAAATGTCTCTACTGATACTTTGATACATTTTCTTTCCTCAGTAATAATTATATGATTGTTTCTCATTTTGCCTTTGCTGCTAGGAAACTCAGTTACTCATTAAAGTAAGTTGGCTAGTCTAGGCTTTCATATAGTTCTTCTCAGTTGCCTAAAATTTTCTGTTTCTATTTTGATGATCTTAATAGATGTGTCATATTATTAGCTTCCTTTAACTGGTGCTAGAAATAGGCATCTAAGTTATAAATACATTAACTTTTATCTCACTTGAATGCATCTATTACATATAATCTATATACAAGTGTATTCTGATGGAAAGAATATTGTATCAAAAGATGCATGCAGGAAATAGTAAACTGGGGAAATGATCCAGTTCAATCATCAGCTGATATTCTTAATATAATAATATGCTGTGATCTTCAGGTTTCTGGGCTCCACCCAGCACAACTGAATGAGATTCTCAGCACAGGGTTTGGGGAATCTGTCCCCCCACCCTCACCGCAGAGGGTGTTGCAGCCGGCCCAGCCAGGGCTCTTAGAAACCATTGCACTAAATCAAAGGATACCAGGAGTGGGCTTTCTGTCAGTGGCTCCAGCAGCAAAACAAAGACATGAAGTGCTTTTCAAAGACTCCCTTAGGAAGAATTAGAAATTAGTATTCAAAATATGAGCCTCCTGGATCTGGTTTTTGTACTTTGCTTAAAACAAGTACCACCGTAATAGTGGAACATTCACAAGGCATGGCTTCTATCTAGCGTGTTCGTGAATCAGCATGAAGTGAGCTTTAAGAGGCACAAAATGGGGGGAGTCAGAGTATTTGTCTACACTTCCCAGATCGCTGAAAGCCCAAAGGCCCAGTGGGTATATCAGCTTTCTCTTCCTATCCTAAGCTCAGTGGTTTAAAACAAAAGGCATTTCTTTAGCTTGTCAATCTGTGGGTCAGCAGTGTAGAGTCTGGACTTAACTAGGCAGTTCTTCTGGTTTGGGGGGATAACTTACATATCTGGCTGTTGGCTGGGGTGACCAGGATAACTGGGCCATGTGTGTCCACAGCAAGCTTGGACATGTTCTCATGGTAATGGCTGAAGCCATGAGTTGAAAACCAATCAAGTTTTTTAAGTAAATCAGCTCACCCAGTGTAGGAGAAAACACAGAATTACGTAGCAAAGGGTATAGATCAGAGAGGAGTGGCGATGAGGCCATTAACACAGCCAATCTGCTACACTGGGAACATAGGGAATGGTTTAGATATTTCAGAACATCTTAAATCTTATATTTACCTGCCCCCTCCACAGTCATGCTGCCTACAGATCCAGAGTATCATGTTTCTTTGCCTTTGGCTGGGATATATCTGTTTTGTAGGGATATACTAATTATCTCCTGCTTAATCAGAACCTTTATTATTGAATGTTTTTCTTTATAGAAAAAGCAGAGGGAAGAATTTATTAATAATATAGATCGCTAAATGACAAAGTGTTTCAAAACATAAGGGAGGAATTTCTTCCCCGCCCTCCACCCCTGGGATGTAGTTAGTTAGAAGGGGCTCAGCAGGAGAAACGTACCCATTTCCAGACATAAAAACTCTTTATCTTAGTCTCTACTATCATACCCAAGATGTCTAGTTGTTAACAAAATTTATGAGGCACACAAAAAGGCAAGAAAAACTACACTCCCAAGAAACAAAGCAATCATCAGAAGAATCTCACTTAGATATGACTCAGGAGTTGGAATTATCTGACAAGGAATTTAAAAGAACAACTATTAATATGTTAAAGGCTCTAATGTAAAATATGAACACATGCGAGATCATATAGTAACTTTCAGCAGAGATATGGAAACTATTAGAAAGAATCAAACGGAAATGCTAGAAAGAAAAAACACATGACAGAGATGAAGAATGCCTTTGATGGGCTCCTCAGAAGACTTGATGCAGCCAAGAAAAGGATCAGTGAACTTGCAGACAGAGCAATAGAACTTACCCAAACAGAAACACAAAGAAAAAGAGAAGTTAAAGCAAAAACAAGAACAAAAAAACAGAGCACCTGGAAATTGTAGAATAGTATCAAATGCTCTCATATATGATTAATTGCAATTCCTAAAGGAAAAGAAAGAAATGATGGGGCAGAAGGAATATTTTTAAATAATGGTGAGAATTTTCCCAAATTAATGGTAGATGCCAAACCACAGATCCAAGAAGTTCAGAAAACACTAAATAGGGTAAGTATAAAAGTGAATACACCTAGCCATATCATATTTAAACTACTGAGTAAAGAACTTTTAAAACCCAACAATAAGAAAACAATCAACAAATTAAAAGCATAAAATATCTGAATAGATACTGCATCAAAGATATCCAGATGGCAAACATATGAAAAGATGTTGAACATCATTAATTGTCAGAAATGCAAATTAGAACCTCAGCGAGATAGCAATATACACCTATTAGACTGGCTGAAATTTTTAAAAATATATTTTTAAGGTACAGGTGCTGATGAGCATGTGGAGGTACTGGAACTCTAATGCTGGTGGGAATGCAAATTGGTACAGCCGCCTTAGAAACACTCTTCACTTTCTTATAAAACGAAACATAGACTCACCATATGAGCTATCTCACTCCTAGATATTCACCCAAGTGAATTTTTAAAAACTCTTGTCCATACAAAAATCTGTTGGTGAATGTTAATAGTTGTTGTTGTTGTTGTTGTTGTTGTTGTTTTTCATAATCATCTCCAGCTAGAAATAGCTCATCAACAGGTGAATGGTTAAACTAACCACTGTACATTCAGGCAATGGAATACTTCTCGGCAATGGAAAGGAACGTAATATTGATAACATGCAATAACTTAAATGGATCTTAAAGGCATTATGTTGAGCCAGACCCAAAAGTCTACATATTGTGTGATTCCATTTATATGACATTCTGGAATAGACAAAACTGTAGGGATGGAAAATAGATCAGTTACTTTCATGGATTGGGATGGGGAAAAGATTGACAAGACAGAGACAGTATGGGGAATTTGGAAAAGATGGAACTGTTTTGGGTGGTACTCTCGTTGGGTACACAACTCTATGCATTTGTCAAAACCCATAGAATTGTACACAACAGAATTATATCTACTGTATGAAAATTTTAAAAAAAGAACAGGAACAAAAGATGGAATGCAGACTATGACAACAGATTTAACTATATTATGAATGACAAAACACAGTGTAGGAGGTGGGGAAAAACCCATATGTCAAATAGATACAATAAACCTAAAGACAAAAAGAACCATACACAAGCACTGTACTTTAGGTGATAAATTTTTTTTCTTGCAGAGATATGGGTTAAATTCTAAAACCACTTTACATATATAAGTATATACTAAGGTTGAACAAATAAGTAAATATAATGAGCCCAGTTTTAAACTGTCAGAGATTGAATTAAAGGGGAAATGCTAGAACCAATCCTTTGGATGTTGACATCAGATATATCAGTTTTGAATCAGCATGAATGCATGCTTATAAATAAATACACATGCAGAGATTGATAGATAAAGAAGTATCTTTGGTTATGTGTGTATACATGGGCTAATATATTTCATATATTTCCTTGGTCTGTCCACTGAGAGGACCTAGAAGTAGTGACATGCCAGTAGTGATGAGCAATCTAGAACCCAGATTTTGGTTTCTAAATACCATTCTCCAATAAAAGATACCAGAGCCTTGGAGAAGTAGCTTATTCCAATAGTGGGTTGGAGAAAACACAGGATGAGCCTGAAGCATTTTGTGGTGTCAGAAAGTAAGGAAATGCTTTAAAGAGAAAGGAAAAAAAAAGGAGGCATATCAAAAGGACACAGGAGCCAACCTGGAAGGTCTCGGTGACTAAAGCTGGAATAATTTGAGCAACTCTAAATAACAGTAGTATTGAGTGACAGCCCAAAGAATAAAATAAATATCTACAAGCCCATACTGAAATGAATAAATAACTGAATAAAGGGGAGAGAAGGAACAACTCTTCCCTACTGCAAAATTCCAAATAATGTGTGAGGAATAAGGGAAATAGCAAATCGCCATTACAATATCACAGTAGTAATTGCTCTAGAAAAGATCCACCAAAAAAATGCTAAAATTAATGGGCACAGCTTTAAGGGGAAACAATATTTAGCTCAAAATATCTGCCCCCGAGAATTTATTAATTATTAAGGGAAAAAATAGTAACTTCTCCGTGGAGAAACCTGACAGACACCTCCTCAACTAGGTGATGAAGGTCGAAATCATCGATAATAAGATCCTGATACTTTGTGTCTGGTACAGTGTGCTAAAAATGGCATATCACTGCTGTGGTCGTCTACCCTAAAAGCCATAAGCAGATCTAAGTATGGGAAAATGTAAGAGAAACCCAAATTGAGGAACAGTTTTCAAATTCCTGACCAGGACTCTGCAGAGGTGTCAAGATCATGAACGACAAGGCCAAACTGGCAGCTGTGGCAGAGTGGAGGAGACTGAGGAGATGTGAGAAGTCAGTGCAGCAGGGGCTCCTGGACCAGGTCCTGGATCAGAGTAAGGGTGTTAGTGGAACGACTGACGCAATCTGAGTGAAGTCTGTAGTTTAGCTAATAGTATGCCCCAGCGTTCATTTCTTAGTTTCGATCATTGTACTATGGTTATGTAAGATGTTAACATCAGGGGAAGCTGGCTGAGGGATACACAGGGACTCTCTGTTCTATCTTTGTAATTCTTCTAGAGGTCGAAAAGTATTTCCAAATACAAAAGGCTTTTTTAGAAAGGCTAAATCACGGGGAAAATGTATTTTTTGGTGAAAGGTTGGAAGCAGCTGGTTTCGATGAGGAAACGTCAAGAGCAGAAAGGGACACACACAGACACGGGGAACATGTATTTTTTGGTGAAAGGTTCCTCATCTGGTTTCGATGAGGAAACGTCAAGAGCAGAAAGGGACTTTGTGTATCTATAAGCCACACTTCCATTTCAGAGCTGGGTTAACTGAGAGGCAAGGAGACTTGGCCAAGGATACAGTGCTAGTAGGGGCAGGACTAATGCCCGGGTTTCCTGACTTCATGGGCTGCTTTTTCCATTCCACTCCCTGCCTCTCTGCTTCAGGGGAGGATTCTCCTGTAACTGTTCGATAGTGTTGTTTCTGCTTTGCATGTTTTGTTTTTTTTTTAAGTAGATTTCACAGTCCTGGTTAGATGTCTTGTTGAGTCAAATATCACCAGTGTTCCCTGTTGTAGGTGTCTGTTTTAATCATTTCTACCATCCAGGTGATAGCTATGTATTTGTCTTATTCTTTTCTGCAGAAACTGGAGACGAGCAAAAGGCCTCCGTCTGGAACTTCCACTACCTCTAAAAGCACCTCCCCCACCCTCACACCCTCCCCTTCCCCCAAAGGCCATGCAGCCGAGTCCTCTGTGTCCTCCTCCTCATCCCACCGGCAATCCAAGAGCAGCGGGGGCTCTAGTAGTGGCACCATCACCGATGAGGGTGAGTCCTCTGAGATCCTGAAACCCCACTC